GACAAAGATTTGTCCTGACTGTGGGCAAGGCGGAAAACTCTAGCAACAGTACCTAACACAAACTTTCCTGTCCCCTCCATTTTCATTTTATGACCTCCATGTCCTACAAAGAACATCCAGAGCTTTCAACTGTGCTCACTTTCTTATTCTCCAAATTGAAGGAGAATATTACCCACACATGGGGACTAGACCTCTGCTCCCAAGTCTGCTCCTGTCTCATGGGTGGGGTGGCTGGCTCAGCTCTGACTCCATGGGATGGAAAGAGTGGGTAGAGGTGTCTGGGAGCACTACTCTGAGTCAAGGTAAACCATGACACTGACAGGTGATGATTTTCTTTAGCTTACTCTTCTCAAGGTTCAAAAAACAAATGTCAGCTAAATGTGGTGGCACACATCTTTGATGCCAGCACTGAGGAGGGAAGGCAGGAAGACAGTGTGAGTTTGAGGCCAGTCTGGTCTACATAGCAAGTTCCAAGTGAGCTAGGATTGTACAGTGAGACCCTGTCTCAAAAATATCAGTACTGAGCATTAGAGTGGTAGGCTATGGTAATCACTGTGATTATTCACTTCTTCTCTGTAGTATTTAATCGATATCCACGAAGCAGGAAATACATTTTTTTCTACAAACAGAAATTCTTCAGTTAGTGATTTATCCCCATCCTCAGGACTAGCCTTTAACACCTTTAAGATTATCTAGGCCATCTTAACCCTATGACAATTTTTTTAAATAAAAATTAAAAGGCTATTTCATAAAGGCACTACCTAACTGTTCACACTCACAGAAAATGTGAGCAAGAATTACCACAAATATCATTGGGAAATACATTCCCCCCACCATGAAATTTTTGGACATTGGGCTGAAGAGGCTCCCAGTATAGAATCTACACAAATACCCTGAGTCAGGGTCACTGTGGGTGGTCTTGGTACGAGGAAGATTCAGCTCTTTCCTTACAGACCATATCTTGAACATGTGATCTTAGAGGGCCCCTTCATTCTATGGCCCTGTGAGCTGACTGAGATCTCTGAGGGGGAAGGACTCTCAGCTGGTTCCCTTCACTGTTTATTCACAGAACCAGTAACTAAACCCTCCATCCAATTCACCAACTCCACGGTCAAAGGCCTGACCTCTGTGATCCTGAAGTGCTTGTCAAATGACACTGGAGTCAAAATCCATTGGCTCTTCAAAGGCCAGAGTCTGAGGATCACCAATAGCATGAGGCTGTCCCAGAACAACAGCACCCTGGAAATAGTCCCTGCTAGGAGTTTGAATTCCGGGGACTATCAGTGTGAAGTATCCAATGAAGTCAGTTCCAAGAGGAGTGACCCCATCCAGCTGGACGTAATAGGTGAGTGAACTCTCCTCCCTTGTTTCTCCATAGTGTTGGGGGTGGGGGCAGTTTCTTTATCAAAAGAGTGCAGAATGGGTCAAAGTCATAAGGAGAAAAACATGGCTCAAGATACAAGTATAGCCAGCTTGGTGATGGATGCATGTTAATCTCATGATAACACACCAAGCAAGGTGAGCAGAGTGCTGCATGCCTTTAATCCCAGCACAACAGAGGCAGAGAAAGTTGGATCTCCATGAGTTCCTAACCACCCTGGTCATTGTAGCCTTTTCAGGTTAGCAAGAGCTACATAGTGAGACCCTGTCTCAAAAGAGAGAGAGCATGAAGCAGGAGGCATAGAAGTACAAGTCCACTCAACTTAATGTACTAGGCTCTGATGACTCCCCATGGGAGACTTGCCTTGGAGGAGGTGGGAATACGGTGTGTATTGGGTGGGAACACTGGTGGGCTGGGGAATGAGGAAAGGGGAATCTGTGGTTGGTAGGTAAAATAAATAGAATAAAAAATAATAAATTTTTATTAAAAAAAGAAGTACAAGGCCAACTCAGATTACATTGTGAGACCCGGTCAATATTAACAACCATAGATGTCAGTATAGCAAATAGAAATGCAAAGTGATTAAGAGTTTAGGGTCTGAGTCAGACACACAGACCACCCTCAGAATCTAGTAAAATATTCATGTTATGCTACATCCCATACCACACAATCCAATTTTCTTTAGATTATTTCCAATCTCTAATATGAATACTGCATAGACACTAGTCTTATTGTGTTGAATACAGGACAAAACAGGAGGAAACAATACATTTTTTCACTGTAGAGATACTTTTCCAAGTAGTTTGTTCCCAAGGTTTTGATCCATAAATATAAAATCCATACATAGAAAGGACCTGTATTGAGTTTCTTATTATGTTTTCATATTTATTCATTTTGTATGGGTGTTCCCCGAATAGTGTGTAGAGGTCATAGGAAAATTTGTGGGGGCCATTTCTCTGGGGACAGGGAATTGAACTCATGTAGGAGAGGAAGCCCTCTATCTGCTAAGCCATTTCACTGTACCACATTGTTTGTGCATTTATATCTGTGTGGGAGTTGGGGCAGGTACTGGGAGTGAATAGGACAGGTGCTCTTCCCAACTGAGCCATCTTGGTGGCCCATATACTGAGTTTCTTATCATAATGCTCCTTGCACAAGACTCTTCTCTGATAAATGTTTTTTTTTTTTTTGTGGTGTATAGTAGTAGTAGCAGTAGTAGTAGTAGTAATCGTAGTAGTGTGTGTGTGTGTGTGTGTGTGTGTGTGTGTGTGTGT